ATGCTGTGAAGTGTTAATTTTCTTTGAGGTTGCCTTATGGTCCATTGAATTCTCTATCCATTTAGTGCAACCAGTATCTTTTAACTCCAGTTTTCCATGAATCTTTGAAGCCTTCTCATAGAAACCGCTTTAAATGATGAGTAATTTCCTGGGTGGGACTTTCTGACATCAGACTATTTTACATGACAGTCTAGATTTTTGGTGCAGCAGTTTGTACTGGATATGAAAAAACAAAACAAATATTCTTAAGTGCCGTAGAGTTGGTTCTGACACATAGGGACCCTGTATAGGGTTTCTGAGGAGTGGCTGGTGAGCTTGAACTGCTGACCTTGTGGTTCAAATTGACCTTGCAGTCCACCACATTAACTCACAGGATATTAAAAAAAACAAAAAACAAAACAAAAAAAACTCTTCCTGGCCTGAGATTTTCAAAGTCTGAAACCAGTAGTTCAGTATTATGTGAGTGATCAGAAGTTAAACAATGAGGATTTTATTATGTTGAAATTTAAAATGTTTGTGATTGGGGTATGAGTTCTACCCTTAATTAAGTGTGGGACCTAGATTTACTAGTAAGTTAGGGATCTGAGGCTAAATAAGGTAGAATTGGGAATTTATGAAGAAAATATTTTAGTGTTTTCATTAATATGAGGGGACTTTAAAAAGTTTGTGGAAAATTGGAATGAAAAGATAATGAAAGTTTTCTACAAAGTTTTTGAAGCTCCTTCATATCTCTACAGGACACTTTCAATTTGTAAACAAACCCAGAGTTGTCTATCATATCTGCATGAGAAAATATCAACAAGTTTTGGGGACATTTCCTTGGAAAGAAGAAAACTCCTCTGCTGCAGTCACAAAGGAAGAAAGAGAGAAGCCCAATGTGGCAAATTCTATGTTTTCCTTGTTATAGTAACAGCTTCTTTGATGCAATGAGAGTCATAAATGTTTGCATAATCACCAACACCCTCCAACCTCATGTTACCTTCACTGGAATTTTCATCTTCATGCAGTGAGCTCTCTGCTTTCTTGGCCTTTAAAAGAGCAAGGGAAGAAGTCTATTAAGAGGAGACCCACTACTTAATGTAAATTCCCATGTGCATACATTCATAGAGATTTTGACTCCCAGATAACTTCACATTTCAGAAAGAGAAACTAGTTGGAGCTGTAGGGTAGGTAAGACCTTCTGAGAACAGGAGTGATTCTAACTTTCATCAATAGGATTCAGTGCTGTGTCTTGGGATTACTCAATAAAAGTTGGCATTTTACTTTTATGTTTGGGAAAACACTAGAAACAGTACTAGCCTGTGATTCAGTAAGTAAGGCAGGATTACACTGGTGATCTCTGTGCGACTATTGGTAAAGTTCCTTTTTAGATTTCTACAGGGTTAAAAAATGGCAGCTGAGTTCATAATTAACATTGCTATTGACCATGCCTGCCACAAGTAATGCCAAGTTCTCCTGGTGGCTGGCTGCCAGAAACACCAAATGATTAAACAACCAAACAACAATAGTTTTCCCAGTAAAATGTCCAGATTATCATTTTGGTGTGTGTTTGCTTAGCAAAGTTGTAGTTAAATCTTTTGTTCTTAATCTTTATAGCTAATTCTGAAAGCATGACTGGATCTTTTATTATGCTATTAGAGGCACTATGGAAACACTGAAGATTCAGTTTTAATAAGACATGTATCTGCTCTCAAGTGTCAATGTCTCCCATCCCTTATAGCCACTAAAATGTATCATTCCAGCTAGAATCAGGGACTTTCAACTCTTAGTGTCTCTATTTCTGTGCTGGAAAAACCATAAAAGTCTATTATGTCTGCTAAAGCATGGACTAGAATTGCTGGAGAAATTAGCACACCTCTTAATCTCCACCAGCAACCTCAGACAATGTAAGTAGCCCAGTTTCTTAACTTCCCAGGTAGGATCATTCTGAGGAATGTACTTTGCATGATTTAGATATTGTACCTTTTATTAGTTTCTTCCCCTGTATCACTTCTCCACCCAATATTTTTGCTCCTTGCACATGAGTTCAGGTTCTGCTTCTAGTTGTTGT